TGTTTGGTTTTTGTTGCATTTGAAATTGTCCAGTGAGAGAAAACAAAAGAAAACACTGCTCATTTCAATCAATAGCATACAATTATTCCTCTAATTTTCATAGGCATCTACTTTGTTTCAGGAAAACTATTAAAATTGTGATGAAATTATTATAGGCAACAGCTTGTCCTTCTATCACAAATATTATTACAATAATTTTATAGCTGTTGAAAAAAAAGATCGCTATGACTTCCCCCAAGTTTACTTACAAAGCAAATACGTTCACTAATACTTAGTTAGAAAAAGGCGTCTTTGTGGAATAAATATAGGAAGGACACAGAAGGAAATGCATACAATGAATTCAGGATACACATAGGCCTTTGATGCATTATTCCCAAACCTGGTGATGTTCAACTACTGCTTTGAACACAGCAGTTTAGATTTTAAAAATGTACTCAAAGTAATTGTGAAAGGGTCATAAGTCACTTTTTTCAGTTCCGCTGTAAGATTGGTCACTAAACAAACTGTTGTAAATCAGGAACTATCTGTAATTTAAAGTAATCTCAAGAAGGAAATTTAGTTGAATCTATGGTAGCAACAATAACAACAAATTCTGATGGCACTTGTGAAATGATGCCTGAACTCTACTTCATAAGCATTCAAGCAATAACATTCGTCCTACTTGATATCACAGGTTGCCCAACCAGCCATGCACTTCTTTGCTTTTTCTCCTCACACTGATACATTTGATACAGACTTTCTGTTCTGATGAGCTTGGAAGTTTCAGGGAATTCCAGGAAAGAAGGAATTCTAATATTAAAATAAAAGGGCACAACACAGCATACCTGAGTTATGCACATTGCCTTCCCTCCCCAGCAGTAAAACTGTGATCAACATGGCAGGAAGACCAGCTGAAGAGCATGTTCAGATACTCTACCCCTCTATTGCATCAGTTTTGGAATGAGTTAGTGGTGTGGAGATTCATGCATTGAAAAGTCAGTCTGTTTAAACAGGTAGTCCTGAAGTTACGACCCACAACTGAGCTCAAAATTTATGTTGCAAAGTGAAACATTTAACTGAGTTTGCCCCACTTTATGACTTTTCTTGCCACAATTGTAAAATGAATCATTGCATTTGTTATGTTAGTAAGATGGTTGTTAAGTGAATCTGGATTCCCCACTGTTTGTAAAGTCCTAAAAGGGGATCCCATGACCCCTAGGATACTGGAACCATCATAATAAATATGAACTAGTTTCCAAGCATCTGAATTTTGATCACATGACCATGGTGACTTTGCAAGGGTTGTAAAATGGTTTTTAAGTCACTTTTTTCAATGCCAGTGTAACTTTGAACGGTCACTATATGAACTGTTGTAAGTCAAGGACTCCCTGTACTTTGAGCATATCTTTTGTAATGCACAAAAGTATATGCCCCATTGGAAACTCCAGTAGTAAGCCAAGAAGTGGTTTGCATGTTTGTAGTTGAGTAAATTCTATGGACTCAAATTTGTGCAGCGTGTTAATAATCTATGGATTATTGTGTTGCCTTAGTACACCCAATATAGATTTGTCAGACAATCTTTTTTTTTAAGACGGTCACGGATTTCTGAAAGGGAAAAATATATGTGAAAGTTTAATGCGAAATGCACGAACACTTGGCACGCAGAAATCCCACATTTGACCCAACAAGATTAAGGCACCTCGGCCACCAGGACGCCTCGTTGACCGCGACCCTTCAGTCCTAATCAGGCGCCAGCCCGCCAAGGCCAAGAGACGACTGGTGAGGAAGATAGGCCGATTCCCATCAGGTGACTGTGGGGGGCGGATTTGGGCTTGGCTTCTTTTCACGTGATCCAGTCGCTGGTTCATATTTTTCCGCCCGTTCATCACCGGCTCCAGCGTAGTTCCTTGTTCCTCGGGTCTGCACGACAGCGGATGAAACACGGAGAAATGTTGGCCGTCACTCTGCTTTTGCTTCTGGCCGTCGGCTCCGGGGTATTGGCCGAACCCGTTAGGTTCCTGGATTGTGGTGAGTAACTCTTTCGCATTGTGATTGTTCTGGATCCTTTAACTTCCAGCACCGCCAGAGAGTTGTCACTCCTGCTCTTAGGGATCACATGGCGCTGTGATGCTTGCAGTGATTTCCCCGGACAGAGAACTCGGGTGGGTGATCTCTGTAGGCGGGTATGAAAGGTGGCGAGAAGCCTTGTGCCTAAAGAGGCAAGGCAACGCCCACCGTCATGTTTTTCGGGTTGTGGCAGCCCCAGAAAAGAGACCAGTTCCCCAAAGCGTCTCTGCTCCAAGGTAACTGGGAATCTTGTGATCAAATTATTTGGGGGTTCATTCTATTGTTAGCAGGAAGAGTTCATGGGGGAGACCAGCTTCTTTCCATCATTCTCCTAAAACCACTTTCACAAGCCAGTTTGCTCCAAGTTAGAGCTACCTGTTGGAGACTTCTTAAAGTACCAGTTTTATTGTATATAACAGTTATGGTTCAGCTTTGGGTGTGTGCAAACTACTTGAAGTATGCATGACCCATTGAATCATGTGGATTAGCGTGGCACAAATGACTAGAGCCTGGTTTTTTGCTCTGTGGGTCATGAATACAAGTAATGGTACTTGAATGCTTATGTGTGAACAAGATCATTCTCTTTTCAGAACAGCCTCTGATGCAGCAAGGGGAGCATTTGTGTTCTGAAACTTAGATATGGTTGGGGGCAGTCACTGATTTTTAATTATAAAATGAAATGATGAGGAAATATGTACAGTGCAACATGAATGAATGGTAACTTTTCTCTTTTTTTCTCCTTTCCCCTTAAGCCTGCTTCTCTCTAGTTTTAGGTTTTATCTTACAGGAATTTCTACCTTGAAGCAAAAGTAGGAAACAAGCAGTTTGATAAAATCCATCTAATGCAGGAAAAACCATTGGTAGTATTTTTATTTGTAACTCACTAATTAAGAGCTAGAAACACTGGGTGGGGGTTAGTTTAGAGTTATTATTTCATATATCTTCTAAAATGTGGAGTTTTTAATCTTTATTCACCTGTTGCCCAGGCTTAATGATAATGGTAGCTCAAACATGTTTGACATTGAAATGACTTGAAATTTTCTAGCAAACACTAATGAAGTTATACTAGAATGTAATTTTAATGTATCAGAAAAAAGTTGTTCTTTGATTGGAACAGGATTTTAAATAGCTACACAATTTCTATGCCTTGGACTTTTTTTTTCATCTCTGATCATAGGAGCTGCATCTGAAATTGTGAGCCCATCTCTGGGTAGAGCCAAGGAATTAGCCCCCATATGAGATTTTGTTGACTAGTGAGGTTCTGACATTCATAGGGAGAAAAAAATATTTTTCAAATAGTACAAGACGTTTTTGATTCTAACCTATTTTCTAAATCTTATCTTTCTTTAAAAAAAAAAAAATCTAGCCTTTGGCAGAATTTGAATGCTTATTGTTTCTTAATTATAATTCCCCAAAAGCCATGCCTGATTTCTGCCACAGACAAGACATATACAATGTTTTCCATAGAGATAATATATACATGCAGGAAAATTGTTTTGCAAAGCAGATTTGCATTTCTGTTAGATTTGCTAATATAGTTGCAGGTTTTTCTTTGAGACTGGAAGTGTAGTCAGATTTATTAATTCATTTCATTGTAATTGGCCATTTACCATCCTTTTTATCTTCTAATTTTATTTACTTTTGAGTGGTGATCTTCAGGTCTCTCAGATTCCAAATATAGCTCGCAGCCTGGTAAGCCTGAGTTCCCCATGCATCAGTTTATGCCCCTGTGAATGAATTTTGAATGTGTTAGTGGGAGTTTTTTCTTCTTATTTTCTCCTATTAAGTCCTCTCTAAAGTGTCTTTGAACACTGAGGGAGTTCTCTGAAACCAAAGGGGATTGGTGGGCAGCGCAGAAGGAAGGAGTCAAGCTGATGAGATTCTTCCTGCCTTTCCTAAAGACAAAGCTATTTCATCCAGAGATGGCTGTAATTATCAGATTTATTTTATTTATTTTTATCCTGCCTTTATTTTTACAAATAACTCAAGGTGACAAATATCCATCCCACCTCTGTCCTCTATTTTTCCCACAACAGCAACCCCGTGAGGTGGGTTGGGCTGAGAGAAAGTGATTAGCCCAAAGCCACCTAGCTGGCTTTCATGGTTAGGACAAAACATGAACTCACAATTTCCTGCTTTCTAGTCTCGTGCCTTAACTGCTAAACCAAACTAGCTCTCAGTTTATCAAGTACATTTAGTACTTTAATTCTGAGTAGATTTATGTACAATTTCATTGGAGCCAATGGTGGGATTCAAATTTTTTTACTACTGGTTCTATGGGCGTGGCTTGTGGGCATGGCAGGGGAAGGATACTGTATAATCTCCATTCTCACCCAACTCCTGGAGAAAGATTACTGCAAAATCCCATTCCCTCCCCACCCCACTAACCTGCTTTCCAGTTCCATTCTCTTGTGCAGGGCAACAAAAGAAGACCCAGCTAATCAGCTGGGACTTGGGTGGCAGAGAATGCATGTGGGTGGGGCCAGTCAGAGGTGGTATTTGCTGGTTCTCTGAACTCAATTTCTGCTACCGTTTCTCCAGAACTGGTCAGAACCTGCTTGAATACCACCTCTGATTGGAGCATTGTCCTATAAACCGTTTTCATAGGATGTAAATATCAATGAACACAAGATAATGTTCTGTCCTGAATTAGGAGAGCTCTTTAGACAGTGAGTCATGCCATATCACCTCATGAATGGATTATTGGACTGGGCTGTCCTTGAAGACTACTTTGATAACCATTTGTCTGAAGTGGTGTAGGGTTTCCTGCCTAGGCTTGGACTAGAAGACCTCCAAGGTCCCTTCCAACTCTGTTACTTTATTCTATTCAGATACTACAAGTAGTTCAGAATGTGAATGGGCAATGTTGCCATGCCTTGTTTTGTCTGTGTGACTCCACTGCTTTGTGCATTGCTTACCTGCTTGTGTTCTAGGTGCAGTTCAAAGTCCTGGTTACTACTTATAATACTTTAATACGGTAGTATAGGTCCAGGTTATTTAATGCAGAGATTCCCAGCCTGGGGGCCGCAGTCCACTACTGGGCCATGGACTGCTGACCACTGGGCTGTGTGAGTGGCTGGCCAGTGAGTGTATGCACACGTGCATGCCCCCCACTCATGCTAGCATTACATAGATGCCCTGTTTGCAACACAGGTATGCTCATGGCCCTGTTTGCTTGCTCATGGCCCCTTGTCATGCACGTGTATGCACAAGTAAAGGTACCTGCCCCTTCCTTTTCCTCCCAGCCGCCAACCCGGAAGGATTGGGGAACTCTGATTTAATGGATTGCCTATTTCCAGTTGTTTATGCCACCCTAGTGTGATCAGGCAGAGTGGAAATACTCTGAGCCCCATTACTTAAGCTACATCATCTTGTGAGGTCTAGAAGCAAAGTCTTCTTTATCGCAGTACCTGTTCTCTGGAATAATATCACACCTCCCACCCCCCCGACCCCGATCTATATGGCTTCCATCCTGACAACATGCAGAAAGCTATTAAAGACCACTATCATCCTGGGCTGTGGGCAGAATGAAGGATTCTTTATTTCATATGTTTTTTTTCTTTAATTGTAAACCACCCAGAGTAATTGGGAATCAAGCAACCTACAACTTGTATAAATAAAAATTAATAAATAGGACATTTTTGCATAAAAACAAAACTTTAGGGCTGCATCTGATCGGGCTAAAAAATCTACACTTTCAGTATCTTTCATCAGAGAGTTCAAATGGTTTGTATGAGATTTCCCTTAGTATATAATAAGTACCACAAGAATCTTCCAAAGTGGTTTGGGCTGAGAATGACTGGCTCAAAGTCACCAAGTGAGCTCCATGACTTCATAACATCCTCAAGATTATACTACATTCATCTCAACCTTACTGAGCTCACTTATGAGTAGACCTAACAAAGCCCTAAATACGACTGGCCTAATTTATTCTGTTCCTGAATAGGAATATTCTAAAATTATCTGGCAATTCAAATATAAACCCAGCAATTTCCTGTTTCAGCTCTATGCATAGTTGAGGCAAATAACAAAAACAGGCACGGATACATTAGTGATGCATCAGTCATGAGGATAAAAGTCATATTCTGCAGGATACAAACAGCTGATTCACATATTCCTTTCATTTGCTATGGGTATATGCTAGTATATTTAAGACACAGCAAAGTGAAAAGGATTCATTTGCTAAAGGTCACAGTAAGTTAATCTTGATTATCTTTCTTACTTTACTGTTTGGGCTAAAAAGCACCAGGATGGCATCAAACAAGTTCTATATATAAAAAGCCACATTTTTCTATCATTATAGTCTAAAAAAGAACCTGGGCAAAGGCTATGTAGGTGAGGGATATACAGATATAGCAATTGGCATAGTTTCCAATAGCTAAGATCATTGGGGTCAAGGACTTTACTCTAAAAATGTCCTCTTTTTTCCTTATAGTTGTCATTAACATTTACAGGAGAAATGCGAACTTGGGAACATTTGTTAGGGGTGTCCTTGACATATGGTGGCCAAATAATTTTGACAGTAACAGTTCCTTGTAGTGGAAAAATGCACACCATAATAGAGTTGCAGAGTGGGACTAGCAATTAAGAATAAATAAATTCATGCCAAAGAGCAATAGGCCAGCTGGAGATTTGTGGTCATATCTTCCAAGATTTGGTGATTAGTCCTTATCTTAAATAATGCTTACCATTGCCAATCTAGACAAATGGATAGATAGATGAGCTATGGCAAGCCACCAGCATGTTTTTTGAAATGCCAAATAGTCCCAAGATTGAATGCTTTTTGGTCATGTATTTTAAAGGAGCTAACTTAGTACTGTCAGATCCACAGATACTTAATGTCCACATCTCATCTCTTAAAACTCCTGAATGGCCTCCCAATAGGTCTTGCTTGCTGTGAAATGCAGTTTTGGCATATTTCAACAAGCTTGCATTACTTAATTTGTTGAGTTTCTTAATTAGAAAAGTGATGAAAACAGGGAGACACTGTTTGCATGAAGCAAAGTAATATTTATGCAATTCTCCAAGAAACCTGAAGATGAATATCTTGATTTCATATCTCTACTCTGTAAATACTGTATGTAAAAACCATATCTGTATGAAATCAGTGTAGATAGACCTTGACTTACAACTCAACCATTCAAAGTTAGAACAGCACTGAAAATGACCTACAACTGTCACAGCATCTCCCATAGTCATGTGATCAAAATTTGTATACTTGGCAACTGGCAGCATCCTGAGGTGATCACCATTTTGCAACCTTCCCAGCTAGCTTCCAATAAGCAAAGTCAAAAGGAGGAAGCTGGATTAACAACCGCGACACAAAAGGTCGCAGAATTGAATGCAACACACTTAACAGCCACTTTTGCTTAGCAATAGAAACTCTGTGTGTAAAATACAAAGAAAATTAAAAATAGGAAATTAAGTGACGGAAAAAGAAAGGGGGAAAAATATGAGGTATAAGGGAAGAAAGCAAATGGCGTTGACTTTCAAATCTTTGTAACGCAGTACAAAATAACAACACTTTTTAGTTGTACATATTTGTATATAACTAGCCATTTCTATAACAACAACTCTATCTAATTGGCAAAACCAAAGTCAACATTTCATTTTTTTTTCATCACAAGCACAAAATCCAGAAGTGATACCCAAAAAAAAAACATTCTTTTCTTTGAAAAGAACACCATTATCTTCCTTTCTTTGTACTTCATATTTTCTTTTTCCCCTTTCTATTTCCTTCCCTTAATTTCCTAATTTTATTTTTATTTCTATTTTATACATTGATAAAACAATAAAAATTATATATGGATAGCAATAAAAATTCTGGTCCCAATTGTGATTATAAGTCAAAGACAACCTGTATTTGCCCTTCTTGATTTTACTTGTGGGTGTGTTTGTGAGTTTTAAATCACTATACTATTTGTGTTATTCTGTGGCAAGAAGACAGTGCAATAGTGTAATTTTAACAATGAAATTTATTTAAATGTTTTTTTAAAAAATATACTGATTGGGGTGACAGTACCATTGAAAGGTGTGTAGATTATTTGTGCTTATTATTTGGAATAGAGTAATCTATTCTGCATTAATAATATGACATGAACATGGGTAAAATGTATTGTCTTTAACCTTTACCTCTTGCTGGTCCTGATTAATTCTCAAATAACTAGACAGATTTTCCTAAAGTTACTGGGTACAATTTTGAACCATTTTTATTGAATGCCTTGTGATTCTTCTTGTTTCTGCATGCTTCTGAGTCTTCCTATCTCTTAAAGTGACAAGCATGTCAATCAAAAACAAAGGACACTATATAAGAATATGTAAACATTTGTCAGGCTATGTCAGTTATTGTGGAATTTGAGAGTTGCTCCAAGATTATATGGTTCCATTCTTTCTGCACAGGTTCCAAAGATGGAAGTATTTTGGAGGTTAATATTACTCCATGTCCTACACTACCTTGCCTTCTCCACAAAGGAGAGTCTTACAGCGTCAATGTTACATTTTCCAGTAGTAAGTATAACCTATTCATTTTGAAGTACAAGATTGATTTCCCAACTGAAACTTTTCAGGAATGTTTTCAGCATTTACAATGGGGTTGTTTTCATTATTCCAAACATCCTATACATAAATGCATTCATTTACAATATAGTTACATAAAAGCAATTTTATATGAAACAATTTCACTGAGAATCATTATTAGCAATCAGCTATATGTAGTTTTAATGGAGTTCATAAATAAAAATCCATGACAAACATATGTAGAACATGATTTTCAATGTTTCTTTTGTTGTTGTATATATGCTTGGGAAAATTGCAAATGGCTGTGATTGTCTAGTTTATGCAGAACACAAATGAGAACAACCACAGTTTTATATGGAAGTGTTTTCTCTGTAAAAACCTCAGAAAAAGGAAGTAAAGCAGAAAACTCATCAGTGAGACTTACCAATCTGCAGTGCTATAAATTATAAAGCAGTTGGATTAATGGATAGGAAAGGAGGCAGACTGGATATGGAACATTGAAAACATTTCTTATTGTAAAATGCAATGTTGTAGTCTACGTTCCTTGTCCTATTAAGATTAATCGCATTTTTCTTCTGCAGAAATTGAAAGCCAAGGCAGCAAAGCAAAGGTGTTTGGAGAAATAATGTTAGTAGATGTTCCTTTCCCACTTGAACAGCCTGATGGATGCAAGAGTGGGATCAAGTGCCCTATCCTTAATGGTCATTCTTACAGCTACTTGAACAAGCTGCCAGTAAAGAGCGAGTACCCATCTGTGAGTTTCTTAGTAGACTGATCTCTGTACTTGGAGCTACTTTTCATGGTTCTTCATGTCATTTATGAAATAGAATGCACATAATTGACCACTTGGTCCTACTTTGGCTGCTTTTGCAATGGGAAGGTTTAAGTCTGCAGAGATAGGGTTCCATTCTCCAGGGAAAGACCATTAGCTCACATATTTGTCCAACGTGAAAGTACAATTTCTAAATTATACAGATTGTGGAAGATTTCATACGGCACTTCTTCCCACATTTAGAATGTCAGCATATTGGGAGGAAACCTCAATTAGAACAAGGAATTGTTTCTATAACATTTTCAGCTATATTTGCCCTCTGCAGTTTGAAATGATACAGTCCCTGTAATCATATAGCTCATTATATTATGCATATGGAAATGTGACTTCAGGCTTCGCAAAATAACAATCTGTTTTATCCCTCAAATCAAGCAATGCAAAATGTAATAGTTCTAACAAATACTCAAGGACATAAATTTGTTCAGAGAAAGTCATTTGCTATGTTGACAAGGGAGTTATGGGTATGATCCCTACATTGAAACATACATGAGAAAGATGAAACCTATTTCAAGTTCAAGTTAAATTCACATATGGCATTTTGTAATTTTTTCCTCCAATAACCCTAAATCTTAATATCTGAAGATCAATTATTTTCATTATTTTCCTTTTTTTTCTAGATTAAACTTCTTGTCAAGTGGCAGTTATTTGATGACCAAGAAGGATTGCTATTTTGCTGGAAGATTCCGGTTGAAATTACCAGTTAAAAAAGCCATTTAGCCCTCAAGGGTTAGAGGATGGAAGGCGGGGTTTGATAAAGACAAGTAAAATATTTTGCTACACCAGGCATTTCCTGTTTATCCTATAGTATCTGTGCAATAATTGTTCTCAGAGACATAGTCTTGATGAAGAACAAAATGGATAACTAGAATAAACAGTGGGTTGGTGGATATCTTGCTTAACTTAGAGCAATGTTTGTTATAATTGAAAGAAATTCTGGATTTATATTGCTTGATACAGACATACCTACCACAGAAAATTCTTCTAAAAAAACCTGGCCCAGCAAAATTGATTACTGTGTTTCTGTCTTTTCAGTGCCTCTTGTGGTCAGATGCTGGCTGCAAATTTCCACCTGCTTCCCCCCCACCTTCCTCTTTATATCATAATCTAAACTATTTTTTACAACTGCAGTTGCCACCTGGAGCCAAAACAAGACAGGATAGCCACCTTTGGGGACTAATTCTGTAGATATTACACTCTCAGATGTCAAACCATATGGTACTTGATCTCTATGCAGAAAGAATTTGTGTTAATCATTTTGCACTATCTTGTAAGTCATTTAAAGTTGCTGTGGGGTGTATTTCTAAATACAGTCAGCTTTTGTAACTGTTTCTAATAAACCAGCAGAATTAAACTTAATCTCTTTATTGATGATAGTGAAAATATTTGCTTATGATAGATAAAAAGATTTCTTCAAGGTGATTTTTACATCCAGTAATTACATGAACATCTTGGTAACAATATAGAAATGGTTTGTATTGCCTCCTTCTGAGATGTTCTTTCAATTTTTCAGTCAAGTTTACAGCCCTGAAAAATTAGATGGATCTTCCATCCAAGATTAGCCCTGCTTAGTCTTTTGGTACCAGCCATAGTTAAGTATAGTCTCCTAATACTCTAAAGAGTATCTTACATATATGAATAATGGTATGGTGGTGCTGGGACTGGAAGCTGTAATGTCATATATAGAATGCTTTCATTTCATTTTTTTCCAAACTACCCATCTCTCTTCTATTTGTTGAATCAACAGGATCTGCTACTTATTTGGTTCTTCCCAAAAGTTTCTAGTTCTAAGCTCAGAAAGAGAAGGTAGAAACATATGAAAAAAGGTTACACACATGAAGAACTGTTATAAGAACTGGGCATGGCTAGTCTAGTAAAGAGAAGGACCAGGGGAGACATGATAGCGGTCTTCCAATATTTGAGGGGCTGCCACAGAGAGGAAGGGTTCAAGCTATTTTCTAAAGCTCCTGAAGGCCAGACAAGGAATAATGGATGGAAATTGAACAAGGAGACATTTAACCTGGAAATAAGGAGAAACTTTCTGACAGAACAATCAACCAATGGAACAGCTTGCCCTTGGAAGTTGTGGGAGTGCCATCACTTGAGACTTTCAAGAAGAGACTGGATTCCCATCTGTCAGAAATGGTGTAAGGCAATGGTGGCTAACCTTTTTGGGCTCCCATGCCAAAAATTGTGTGTGCGCTTGCGTGCCAGCACCCAGAAGGTAATGCACATGCCCCCTGCACATGCGCATGTTGCCCTCCGCAAATGCCACGTCTCCCCCCATGTGCCATACATCTGCACATGCATGCAAGCCCCCCTGCATGTGCCCCTGAATCTCTGCACATGTGTGCCCATCTCCGCCGCACCCCCGCATCCCATGCATGTGTGCCAGATACCCAACAATCAGCTGGTGGGTGGGCAGTGTACGCACATGCACAGTGGAGTTCTTCTGGGCGACCTCTCGCGTGCCACTTCCGGCATGCGTGCCATAGGTTTGCCATCACGGGTGTAGGATCTTCTGATTGGGCAGGAGATCGGACTAGATGGCCTACAAGGTCTCTTCCAACTCTTATCTGTTATCTGTTATATGACTAGCCCCAGTCTATAAACCATTAGGCACAATATAAAAAAAACATGTTTATTTAACACGTATTTTTTCCAATGGAAAGCTCTGCATTACTTTTTAAAACTAAAGAGCTATAATTTTTCCCACTTCCCAAAGTAACATGCCAGCAATCACAGAAGGTGCAGTTGGATGTTTATGGCTTTTGGTGAACAGAAAGCCCAAAAAATACCAATGAAGTCCAAGCCCCAATGAAACTATAGTTGCTCTAACTCTGCAGGGCAAAATGTGTTCTGGGCTTGGATGTGTCTTTTTATTTGCTAATAAGGATAACTTTAAGAGAAGATTATATAGATTTTTGGCTGGATTCATTTGGAAGCCAAATGTCTGTTATCTGTGGAATGCGAATTTCCTTCAGTCATGCTAAAAAGAGGACATAATGCATCAGTAGCTGTGAGGAGGACATGCCCATTTTGTATACAAAGCTCAGACTATTTCTGAAAAGGTTAGAGTAAGGATTATGAGTAAATTTAGGAAGCAGCATTCTATGAATGGTAAAGAAATGTAAGATGACATGAGATAAGTGAGAAATTGGTACAATAAAGTGGTAAAGCCTTGTGAGAATAATCCTGGGGGCACAAATTGTTCACTTATGATATAAACAAAGAAACAAAAGGTGAACAAGAAGGAGGGAGTGTACTGCTGGTCTATCCAATGCAATTAGTAACAAGGCCAAAAATCTGTGATAAAAATGGTGTGATCATTTATCAAAGGCACATACAGTATATGAAGATTGGGCCCTGAGTGCTTACACTGGCTGAAATACTGTAATTGAACAGATCCATATGCTGAGTCTTTGCTTTCTGGGAAGTAAAATGTTTTAAAGCTGCTGAGTTCCCTGAAATACTTTTCTGACTGCACAGAGTTTCAGTACTTGAAGCAAACGGCTGAAAATGTTGCCTCCACTTTAACTCTTCTTTTGTAGTTATGCAGCCTCTGGATTTTGTGCAGTCTCTGGAATGCAGTGAGTCTCCACTAAAGCTGCACTTCCAGGTGAGCAAGTGCAGCGATAGGAGCCCTCTGTGTTTTCACAGGCATTACCTTTACAAAGAATCATGGAGGCATTTGCTGCTTCACACTCATTGATATCTGATGGGGAGAGTGGGGGGGGGGGGGGGAAGAACACTATTAGATCCAACAACACATATTTTTTCTCACATTCTTTTTAGTTTATAAGATTATACCTAAATTGAATTTACCATTGCTGTTCTTTGTATCTCATTTAAACTGAAGATGATTCAAAAGCGATCTGAAATGAGCAGAATTCAAATAATCATTGTACCATATTGAGGTACTTGCTTTCTGAGTAAACCTCATGTTGCATAAAGACCAGGGGTGGGATTCTACCAGTTCACAGCTATTCGCTAGAACCAGTTGTTAACATTCTAAGCAGTTCAGAGAGGCAGTTGTTAGAAGAAATTACTGGCCTAATCCTGTAAGGAAGGCAGGAAGGAAACATTCTGGTGTTGCTTACAGAAACTGCCTCTCGGTTAACCCTTATTACATTCTTGGCAGGACTAGACTTCCTGTCTCAGGAGCTTCTCTGGATTTTTTCCCCCTTCTTTGCTAGTACTTTGCTTGTGTGGAGGTGACCATTCAGAGTTACAATGGCACTGAAAAAAGGGACTTATGACCATTTTTCACACTTATGACTGTTGCAGCATCCCCACAGTCATGAGAGGCCAGGCAAGGAGATATGTGCCTCAATGTGAGTGATATTGAGTTGGCCACGCCCAGCCAATAACATGACCAAAAGTCATGTTCACCCAGTCACATGACCACCAAGCCACGCCCACCAACTAAGCCACACCCACAGAACTGGTTGTTAAAAAAATTGAATCCCACCCCTGATAAAGACTATACTATAAGGATGGAGTGAGTAAAGCTCTTCTAAACTTTGAATAATAATTTGGTAAGAGCATGAACTCTCCAGCAAAACACTCCTGAGTGAGAGTTTGTCTTTAGCATAGTAACAATGGCAATGAACGCACCAAAAACCTCTCCAACAATTAAAATTAAGCGTAACATTTTAAAAGGATGCACAGCCCTCTTTAGTAACTCAGGGTTTGGGGGGTTCTTTGCTGTACTTTTTTTTGGCAAGATCTACCACATTTTCTCCCACGGCACTTACGGCACTTACCGACACAGGCCATGAGCTTCAAATCTAATTGGAAGCCATCAAAGCAATCACAAGTGTAACCTTCCTGAACACGTACGCAGCGTCCATTTTCACAGCCAGTAAGAATTCCACACTCTTCTACTTGTAGCCCTTCAAAGCTGCTGTACTGCTCTGAAAGATGAGAGTAAGAAATAAATATTTTTTTAAAAGCAATATAGAATAGGATAATCTTATAGAAGGAAAAATGCCAAAATGGTTCTTTCTATGTATATATGCATTAAAGGCAAGCATGCAGGGGTGGGTTTCTACCGGTTCTGTCCACCTCTGTAGAACTGGTAGCTCTAAAGAGCAGCAGACATAGAACCGGTTCTATGTCTGCTGATGTGTTTGCCCACCCACCCACCTGGGCTCTTACCTGATCTTTATTTCCTGCTTTTTCAACTTCAGCTGCCATGCAAGGCACAGCTGCAGATAAAAAAGCAGGAAAAGAGGGCTGTTTCAAAGGCTGCTTCTCTGCACACAGTGTGCTGATGACGATTTATAGGCGTGCGACTCGCAGCATGCAGGGAAGCTCGTAAATCCTGAACTGGTAGTTAACCCTGTCGTATCCCACCCCTGCAAGCATGGACCTTTTCCTTAAATCTGTGAACAATCTGTGAACAAACAAGAGAGAAAAAAGAACATTTTCTTTCTATTGGCCCTCCTTTTTCAGATGCCTCTTTCTTTAATCCAATTAAGAATACTTGCATATCGAAAGGATTACAAGAAGAAATCAGAGAGGCTTCCAACTGTATGATCCAGGAAGTGGTATACATAATCTCTTCATCTGCATTAACACAAGTGGCTTTGAGGAATTAGTCATTGCAGAACATCTCTTTGGATGTTGAAAGAATCTGACTTGAGCACTTGGCTAAAACCAAGATTTTCTTGCATTTTTGGCCAGTCTCTGGACCTGATCTTTAAAAAGCAGGAAATGGGATTGAAGGTTGAAATGCCTACGGTTGGAGTAAAATACCTAAGCATAACTGAGCTTTTATTTATTTTTCCCTGACACTTACCAATGTGCTCAGGCATGTAGCGAGGCTGTGTCTGATCTGGGTGGATCTGTTGTCTTTGTGGTGTCGTCCTATCCTCAAATGCATTGTTTTCTTCTCCGTTGGTATCAGCTGCTCCATCTTCATCCAAACGATTCAGATAGGGCTCCAGATCAGGGATATAAAGCTCATATTGATGACTGTCTTGATTTGACCCATACTCATAGCTTGGCCTTTCTTGGAGTCCAGCCTCATTTACTATATTGCACAGCTGATAAAAATCATCTAAAAAGAGAGCAAAGAAAAACTTAATAAAGGACCTGATTTTCATACAATACTGCCTGATTATTGCAATTGTTATAAATGAGGGGTGTCAAACTTGATTGCATTGAGGGCTGCATCAGGGGTGTATTTGACCTCGGGGAGGAGGAGTGGCAGGTGGACATGGCTGGGGTGGGCATGGGCAGCTTGATGTCATTTGTGTCAGGGACACCTATGGTGGCTCAGGTGGGCCATCTGCCAGCAAAAATGGAGCCTGGGAGCCCAAGCTCCATTTTCACTGGCAGAGGCACTGTGGGCC